AGACATTTTCAAGCTGCCAGTGGCTACTCAGGAGGCTGAGAGCTGAGGGTCTTAGTTTGAAGCCAGTCCAGATAGACACATTCTCAAGACTTTTCTCCCCAGTTAGCCAGCAAAAAGCTGAAACTAGAGGACTGGCTCAAGAGGTGTCGGATTCAGCCACGGAGGGACAACGCTGAGCAAGAGCTTGAGGCCCTGAGTTCAAGCCTCAGCACACACACACCTCAAAAACAAAACTACCAGAAACTTGGCCTTCTTTCACTTTTGGAATCTAAAGTCTGGAGGTGTTGGCAGGGCTGGGTTCCCGCGGAGGCTCCCTCTGCTTCTGGAGGCTCAAAGCTGGAGTGCTAGTCTGGTGTTGCACCCCTCCAACCTTGCCTGTGTCTTCACCCTCCCTCTGCGTGCATCTGTCCAAACCTCCCTTGACCTCCTCATACAAGACACTGGCCATTGGTCTTTTTTTTTTTTTTTTTTTTTTGGCAGTCATGGTGCCTGAACTCTAGGCCTGGGCACTGTCCCTCAGCTCTTCAGCTCAAGGCTAGCGCTCTACCACTTGAGCTATAGCACCACTTCTAGCTTTTTCTGCTTATGTGGTGCTGAGGAATCGAACCCAGGGCCTCATGCCTGCAAGGCAAGCACTCTACCACTGAGCCACCTTCCCAGCCCTGGCCATTGGTCTTAAGACCGCCTTAATCCAGCAGGACCTCCTCTTAACTAACTCTGTCCACAAAGACCCTGTCTATAAACAAAGTCACACACCACAGGCACCAAGAATTAGGACCTGAGCATTTGGGGGGGTCCATTCAGCCTACCTCCGGGGGGGGGGGGGGGCGTGGAGCTGGGCCTGCCTGAGGCCCTCAGTTGGGACACGGACTAGCTTTCCTCATAACTCACCCTACAGGACTTCCAGCCCCTGCGCTACTTGGATGGCGTCCCCAGCTCCTTCCAGTTCTTTCTGCCCCTGGGCTCTGGGGGAGCTCTGCACCTGCCCACTTCCTCCTTCCTCACCCCCACCAAGGACAAGTGCCTCTCGCCAGAGCTGCCCCTGCCCAAGCAGCTGGTGTGTCGCTGGGCCAAGGTGAGTGGGGAAGGGGGTGTCTAGGACTGCCGTGTGGCCGGGGCCACGGCCCCATGCGGGCTGAGAACCATACCTGGCACCCTACAGTGTAACCAGCTCTTTGAGCTCCTGCAAGACCTGGTGGACCACGTCAACGACTACCACGTCAAGCCCGAGAAGGACGCAGGGTACTGCTGCCACTGGGAGGGCTGCGCCCGCCATGGCCGGGGCTTCAATGCCAGGTGAGGGAGCGGGGCGAGGGTGGGAGGGCAGGGCTGGGGCTGCAGTGGGCTGAGAGCCTCCCTCCCCTCCGAGCAGGTACAAGATGCTCATCCACATCCGCACGCACACCAACGAGAAGCCGCACCGCTGCCCCACCTGCAACAAGAGCTTCTCCCGCCTGGAGAACCTGAAGATCCACAACCGATCCCACACTGGTGAGTGATCCCACCTGTACCCCCTGCCTGGTGACACCTAAGGGACGGCAGAGATGGGGCTGCTTTATTCCTCACTGCACCCAGAACCCACAGGAGAGCCAGTTCTGGCCTCCAGGCACAGACCTAATCACTGCCTTAAAAAGAACAAGTGCCGGGTGCTGGTGGCTCACGCCTGTCATCCTGGCTACTCAGGAGGCTGAGATCTGAGGATCATGGTTCAAAGCCAGCCCAGGCAGGAAAGCCCATGAGACCCTTATCTCCAGTTAACTGCCAGAAAACCAGACATGGTGCTGTGGCTTAAAATGGTAGAGTGCTAAGCCTTGAGCATAAAAAGCTCAGAGACAATGCCCAAGCCCTGAGTTCAAGCCCCACAAAAGACTCCCCTGTTCCCTCCCTCCCCCAAAAAAAAAGAACTAAAGAAGGCTAACAGTGGTGGCTCATGCCTCTAATGTAGCTAAGTGGGAGGCAGAAATCAAGAGGACTACAGTTCTAAGACCCCATATAAATACACAGCTGGATGTAATGGTACTTGGCTATAATCTCAGCTACTTACGAAGTTTTGGTGAGAGAGTTTCATTCCTCAAAACAGCCCTGGGTAAAAACTCATCTTTGAGTAAGGCAAAAAACAAAACAAAATAAAGCATAGTTAGCAAGTCAGCACTTGCCCTGGGCCAGGTGCTCCCCTCCAGCCTGTCAGTGTTCGTGTCTGTGGTGGGGGAACCCAAGGACACACAGCAGGACCTCAGCGGACTGGGGCCTGATAGGGTTGCTCTGCCTGCCACCTGCACAGCCAGATCTGGTACCCCCACTCCCACAGGTGAGAAGCCCTATGTCTGCCCCTACGAAGGCTGCAACAAGCGCTATTCCAACTCGAGTGACCGCTTCAAGCACACCCGCACCCACTACGTGGACAAACCCTACTACTGCAAGATGCCTGGCTGCCACAAGCGCTACACAGACCCCAGCTCGCTGCGCAAGCACATCAAGGCCCATGGCCACTTCGTTTCTCAGGAGCAGCAGGAGCTCCTGCAGCTGCGCCCACCTCCCAAACCACCCCTGCCCACCCCTGACAGCGGCCCCTACGTCAGTGGGGCCCAGATCATCATCCCCAACCCTGCTGCTCTCTTCGGAGGCCCCAGCCTGCCTGGCCTGCCCCTGCCCCTGCCCCCTGGCCCCCTCGACCTCAGTGCCCTGGCCTGTGGCAACGGTGGGGGGGTTGGAGCAGGGGGGAGCATGGGTCCAGGGCTGCCAGGCCCCGTCCTGCCCCTCAATCTGGCCAAGAACCCACTGTTACCCTCGCCCTTTGGGGCTGGTGGACTGGGCCTGCCTGTGGTCTCCCTCCTCGCTGGCTCCGCTGGCGGCAAGGCTGAGGGGGAGAAGGGGCGAGGGTCAGTGCCCGCCAGGGCTCTGGGCATGGAGGGCCGCAAGACTCCCCTTGACAGGACGGAGAGCAGCCGCTCCCGGCCCAACCCTGATGGACTCCCCCTGCTGCCAGGCACCGTGCTGGACCTGTCCACTGGCGTCAACTCGGCAGCCAGCAGCCCCGAAGCGCTAACTCCGGGCTGGGTGGTGATCCCACCTGGCTCCGTGCTGCTCAAACCAGCCGTGGTGAACTGAGCCGCCTGCCCAGCAGCCCCGCCGGCCTCCGCGGGTGCTGTCCCCCGACGAACAGAAACTCTTCTGCGAATAGCAATAATGTCCTACTGCCACAGGGCCTGGGTGCTCCCAGGGCAGCTACAGCCCGGAGAGCTGGGCAGCAAGGATGGTGCTAGAAGGTCATTGCTGGCTCCAGCTCCTGAGGGGGGGCTTGGCTTGCACCTGCTGTCCAAGGAGCGCTGTGCTCGTAGGTGCTCAGGCCTCACTCCAGGCCCTGCCGTATAGCTTCTGTCCTCCACCTCAGTCCTTGTCCCCCCACCTCGGTGCCTCCCTCACTTCCTGCCTTGGCTTGTCCAGACCCGTTCCCCCTGGCCCTCCTCCCGAGCCACAGGGAAGAAGCCTGCTCTCCACCCACCCCTACGACAAGGTGCCTTCCAGCTCACTGGGGCAGGAAGGCCCGCTCTGCCAGCTGCCCCCATCCCGCATCCATTGCTGGAAGGGGCACCACGCCTGGGAGCGTGGGACGCAGGCCCACGGGATTCCTGTGCTAGGGAAGGGAGGTGTCAGGCAGCCCTGGCAACATATCCAAGTGACCCAGGCCCCTGCTGCAGCCAGCCTGGGCTCAGGGAACAGGAGCTGGGGCTGGGGTGAGCTCTGGCCTCATCCTGCTGGGCCTGGCCTGGGCAGTGCTGTTTTGTAGCAGTTCGCAGAGCGTTGGTCCAGCCCAGGAGTAGGAGGCTGGCTGGGGATAGCCTAGGCAGCTCTTGGCCTGCAGGTACGATGACATCAGCATGCAGGGAGGGCCTAGAGGTAGCTTTCTGGGGGCTGTATCCTGGAGGCCCTGGGCTTGAGAAGAGCAGGCTGGAGGAGGACTTGTGACAGGGTGGCTTCCTTTAGTGGTTCCCTTCTTTGGGGCCCCACGTGGTCTGCAACCCCACTGTGCAATCCAGGGATGCTGGGCTCCCACAGAGGACCTCCTACCCCACAGTCCACTCACTGCTTCCTTCCCACCGGTGGCTTCCAGATGTCTTGTTCCTGGCCCGTGGAGAGGCCAAGTCCTCCCATTTCCCTACTTGTAGAACAAAAGAGCGGCCAAGTGTGTGTGTGAGGTCCTTGGTAGCCCTCTCCTCCTCTAAGCAGCTCTGCTGACCCTACCCTTTCTTGGACTGCCCTTCTGTCCCAGAGGGGTCACCCTGACCCTGACCTGGCCCACCCCGAAGCTGGGCTCAGGACCCAGGCTAGTTACCCCTTGAAGGGGCTGTGAGCAAGATGGGAGGGAGCTGGTCTCCTTCCTTCCGCCTCACCCAGGACCCAGAAACCCCGCCCCCACCCTGTTAGGGCCCAGGCCTTAAGTCCCTGGCTGGGGGGGTTTGGGGTTTGAGACTCAAGGCCAGGAGCAGAGGAACAGGGCACTGGACGGTGACATTAGCTCAGCATGTGACTTGGTGATAGACCAGGCTTGGAAGGGCCGGTGTACTTGTTGTTGTCAGTTTGTTCTTGCACATTCCGGATGTCAGTATTTTAACAGGTTCTAAGTGCCTTTCTATTGTAGCTTATGTTTTCCTCCTCTTGGCTCCATTGCTGTTAGCATAGAGTTTTAAAAAAAGAGATAAGCTAATGACTATAACAATATATTCCTCCATGTGAGAGGAAGTTTATAAAGAAACAATAAAAGTAAGTTGTAAAGATGGTTTCTGTGTGGTGGACATCCTAGGAGCTGGGCCACCTGATCCTAGGCCACCCCACGCTGTCTGGGCCTGGCTGGGAGAGGACAGGACACAGGAGAAAGGAGTGGCCACACAGTGGCCCAGGGCTACATATGAACCTCACCCCACGTCTGTCCCTAGGCTGCCAAAGCTTCCTGCCTCCCGGTCCCAGCACCTCCAGGGAAGAAGGCAAGCCTGCTTTCTGGAAATGCGGAAAAGACATTTATTACCAAGCTATAAATTATGAGGAGTGGGCTGGGGTGGGAGGGGCTGAGCAGTCACGTTTTGGGTGTCGTCCCTTTCTCTCTGTCTTCTTGGGCCTGGATTCTGAGCTCCTCGTCCAGACGCTCCTTGGCCCGGACAACCTGAGGAGAGCAGGAAGATTTAGCGGGCACAACCTGTGCTCTCTGCCCCTTGCCTGCACGAGGCCTCTTCCCTTCCTGTCCCAGGCTCAGGCGCCTCCCTGGAGGACAGTGGGCATAAGGACACCTGCTCTGGGATCTGGTTGGAGCACACCACAACCACATGCTCCTGTTCCCTCAAGGTCCTAGCCCCATCGCCCCTGGGCAGCCAGAGGGAGTGGCAGTTTGACTTGGGGAGAGGACACTGAGGATGGGGCTCCAGGAGGAGACTCTGGCACAACTTTGCCTGCCAAGTGCCTACCTGCTAGGTGCCCTGCCTGGAACCAAGGGGCCCCTGCGAGGCAGGACAGAGGTCTGTGGCAGAGCACTCACCTTTGACTGCAGGTAGAAGGAGCCACCCACAGATTTATCGTTCACTTTAAATAGGTGTTCATAGTTCTGCAGGAAGAGAAGATGGCAAGCAGCTTACAGTTTCAAGGTAAGACGATGGGCAAGCAGATGTGAGGAAGGGAGGCTAAAGGCCTCAACCTGAGACCCATAAGCCATGCTGGGCAACCCAGGAGGCTCTGCAACCACTGAGGGGGCTCTGATGGCCAGCTGTGGTGTCTGCAGCCAGCCTGCCTGGGGCCGGAGATGTCCCAAACAACGTGCTTCTCCCATAGAGCGTGGCTGGCTGCAGCCAGAGCCTCTGCACCTGCCCTGCCCATTCTGCCAGCCACCCCCCATACCTCCCCCCCCCTCCAGGAGCCAGTCTGGTGGCCTCACCTTCTGGACCTCCTCGGGATTCAGCTTGGAGATGTTGAGAATCTGCTGAGCCTCCTGGAGGCTGAGGCCAGAGAGGTTGGATGCAGCTGCGGATTGGTGCCCAGCACGTCCCCGGGCGTCAGCTGCTGCCCGGCTGGCTGTATGGACACGAGGGTGATTGCTCAGCCCTCTGCAGCCCAGAATTCCCCCCTTTGAGCCTTCCAACTGGTTCACCACGGCAAGGTGGCACAGAGGAGACATACAGAAACAAAGGTGGCCAAGATTGGCTTCTCTTGGGGAGGGGTGGGGGTGGGGACGCAGAGGATGGACATACATACAGGTATGCTAAGAGCAGGGTATAACCATCAAACCTGGCTCCTGGTCCCAACCCAGGCCTCAGATGATCCTTCCCCACCCTCATCCTCATCCCAGGGGCAACTTGGGAAGCTTTAGGTTACTATGATGACCAAAAAGTAAAGACACAACAGGCAGGATAGGAGCACTAACGGCCAGGACCTGGACACTCTGCTGCTGCCCAGATCACTAAGGCAGGCTGCCACAGGTGGCTGCTCCCTTTCAGTGAGCCTAGTCAGGAGCCACTAAACTTTCCCTTAAAGGTCAAAGAGAAAAGATTTTTAACTCTTCAGCCAGTTTTTGTTAGGATGATTAGTTCTCCTTGAAAGCAGCCAGAGGCTGTGACTATGTGCCAATAAAACTTTACTTATGAAAAGAAGTGAGCAGGTGGGTCAGATTGCTGCCTCCTGCCAGGGTGCCCATGGAAGCTCAGCCTCACTGGAGACAGACCTTGCTCCCTTACATGGGACTGTCCCAAAGTCTCCCACTGCCCCTGGGACTAGACAGGACAGGGCCACCAGCATGCAGAATCCCAGCAACAGAGCAATCCCCACACTCATAACCAGCAAGGCCGCTAGGAAAAAATGTGGCCTGGCCAGGTGCTCCTGGCCCAGGGGGAGTAGGGGTCCACACTTACCTGCAAATTCTTGTCGCAGGGCCCGAGCGAAGGCTCTGCCCACCACCTGTGCACCCATTACAATGATCTGGGCCAGGTACTTGGCCTGTGGGCAGGGTAGGCACTTGGTTACCAGGCTGTACCACAAGGCCTGCAGTGGGACCACCCTGCAGGCTGCCAGGAATCAGGGTGGGGACACACAGGGCTTTAGTGACAAGCCATCTTCTTCAGATACTCCCTGGAGCCCCCCAGAGGGGGACTGGCCCCTACTTGGCCCTCAGGAAAGGTAGAGAGAAGCCCAGGGCACATGGCTACAGGAGATGAAGAGCAACAGCTTTAGGAAGAAACACTGGACTGGGAGCTGGAACACAGGAACAGTCCCAGGTCAACCACCAAATCATTTGCCACCTAGGGCCAATGATGGCTTTTCTGTACTGCTGAGCCTTTTCTGGGCCAGCCTTCACCTTGCCAGGGAGAAACATCCATCCTTAATTCTTTCAAGGCTATCAAAGTCCTGTGACTTGGCGTTTCACTCAGTGGATACAAGAAGTTACTCAGGATCTACTCAAAGCACAGCAGTCCTGACTCTCAGGAGCCTGCCTGTGAGGCAGAGGCACAGACGCAGCAATCAGGGAGAGTCTGGTGAGTTCATCAGGTCAGCCGCTGGTTCACTCGCTCGGAGCCCTTGTCTATGCTACTCTCAGGTCAGCACGGGAGCACAGAGACACAAAGAACCTTATACTGCATTCTGGGGCCTAGGAGGGCAACAGCAAGTTGGCTAGTATCAGAAATCCAATCCAGAGGTTCAAGAGGGCTGTTAAGATTCCAGTGGGACCTAAGGCACTGTCTTCCCTAACAGGCCGGATGTGAATATGGGCCATGAAGGGAATGAATAAACACCAGTGGGTTTGCCAAGCAGGTGGAAATTTCGTAAGCCCTGATTTCATTGCAAGCCCAGAGTTGACCCCAACGAGTCAGCTGTAACAGGGCGTACTTGCTGACTAGGTAATCTCACCTGACTTCTGCCCTCCTTGCCTAAAGCCATGCCAAGTGGGACAGGAGGCTGAGATGGAATGCTGGTTTTGTCTAACCAGCTAGCCAGTGACTCTACGGGGTATCAGATCACACAGCCAGATTCCTCAGCCTACAACTCCTCAGAACCTCACCTCCCATAGAAAGCCCTCTGTTGCCACAGACAGACAGAACCTTCTAATCAATCACTGGTAATTTTTCTTTTTTTATTTCTTTCTTTTTTTTTTTTTTGGGTCCGGAAGTGGGGCCTGAACTCTGGGCCTGGGCGCTGTCCCTCAGCTCTTCAGCTCAAGGCTAGCACTCTACCACTTGAGCCACAGCTCCACTTCCGGCTTTTTTTCTTTTTGCTTATGTGGTGCTGAGGAATCGAACCCAGGGCCTCGAGCATGCAAGGCAAGCGCTCTACCACTGAGCCACCTTCCCAGCCCCTCACTGGTAATTTTTCTATGAGGCAGATGGCTGTTGATAAACAATGCAGATTAAGAACTGAGGCTGAAGCTGGGGGCTGTGGCTCACACCTGTAGTTCTAGTTACTCAAGAGGCTGAGATCTGAGGATTGAGGTTCAAAGCCAGCCCAGGCAGGAAAGTCTATGAGACTCCAATTAACCACCAGAAAACCTGAAGTGGAGCTGTGGCTCCAAGTGGTACAGCGCTAGCCTTGAGCAAAAAAGAGCTCAGTGACAGCTCCCAGGCCCAAGTTCAAGCCCCACAACTGGGGGAGGGGGGAGAACAAAAATAAAAACAAAACAGGCTGTGAGCTGCACATACAAAAACAATCCAACAAGAAACAACAATGACAACTAAACAGAGGCTGTCACTGAAGACTTCTCCAATATCCCCTGCGGAGTTCAAACAAAGTGTCTGGTGGCCTGTGTGTGGCTCCTGCCCAGACCTCCATGGCTGCAGAGGAGGCAGGATGGCCTGCAACACTTCAGCAGCTACCCCAGCCAGCCAGGGGAGCTGGACGGATGTCTGAGGACACCAAGGTTCCTGTGGGAGACCTCTTCCAGGGGAGGCAGAATGGTGCAAGCTGTGTGACTGGGAAAGTCTCAACCCCAATGAGTCTCAGTTTCCTTATTTATAAAAACTGCACAATAACACAACTGTCACCGAGGTTAAACAGATTGTGGATGTGAACTGCTGGGCTTGGGATTACAGCTTAATGACACAATGAGAAAGGATGGATGGAGAGGAGGAGGGTGGGAAGCAAAGGGAAAAAGGAAAGAGGAAAGGAGGGAGAGGAGGTAGGGAGGAAGGGAGGAAAGAAAGAAGGAGGGAAGGAAGAAAGAAGGAAAAGAGGGAGGGAGGGAAAAGGAAGGAAGGAAGGAAGGAAGGAAGGAAATTTTTCCTTACAGGAGGGCTCTAGGACCCTCGAGGCAATGTACATAAAACAGTGGAAAAACAGAGTGGCAGGTCCAAAGCAGAACTCAGCAACAGCTGACTTTGTTTCTGGTCCAGATCCTGCTTGCTGTTAATATCTGGTGATCAGGTGGCCCAGTCAGCCCTCTCATCCACTAGTTGAGCTCCAACATTCCCTGAGTGCTGGCTTTGGCCAAGCCATTCTTACAGCTGAGGAGTCCTGGGGAGCAGAGCTCTACCAGCTGTGGCTACCACAGGTGATCCAAACAGCCACTGGCTGAGGCTCCTCCCAGAAGGCTCCCCAAAACATCACTAACAGACAGACCAAGAACTTCAGGTCAAGCAGCGGGCAGGTAACAGGTCAGAAGATGCACAAGGCTCCATCCCTGGGACCCACAAATGCTTTCTGGTGTGGGGAGCAATGTGGCACATGTGGGCCCAAAGCCCTGAAGTTGTGGCAAAGGACCACATACAAGGTGGGGGAGGCCAGGAGGATCTGGGCTTTTCGACACAGCCCCGTGTGAGGTGCTCCTCCAGGGCACAGAGGCAGGCTGATTCTGAAATAGGAAGTGGCTCTGATCACCCAGGCCCAGCAAACAGCTGCAAGGCATCACAGCTAGACAGGAGGAAGGTCAGACATTTGCCACAGTATTCAGAACCTTGACAGTAACCTGCAGGTGTCCAGTGTGTACTTGAATGAGTGTCCCACACTTTACCAGTTTACCCTCAGCTTTGTTTTGGCCAAAGCTGGAATCTCAAACCCAGTCATCCCCCACACCTCTCCTCCCCAAGATAAAGTTTCCAAAATACCTCCTAACCCCCTGTACTTCATTCACCTTTGTCTGTGAATCCAGTCTACTTCCAGCTTGGCATTTAAACCTCTTCCTCCAGCCTCAACTTAGTTCTACACGTGGCAGCGTTTTCTACTCAACATCCTGGGCATGGGACAGGGCACATGGCACACCCCAACCCCCTGTGAAATTGTCCTGGGTCCCTTCCACTTGTATCTTCCCAGCCTACATTCTTTTCCTGGGCATGCACTGTCACCCTTCTTTCTCTTCTAGGTTACAAACTTCTCCAGGGCCCTAGGTTGTGGCCTTGAGGACGACTCAGAGTTCAGTGAGTTAACGCTCATCAATGATCCAGGTCGGTGAGGGGTCATGGCAGGTCCTCAATAAGTCAGGGACCGTTACAATGGCAAGGCAAGGGATAAACAAGGTGGTGAGAAACAGGCGTTCTCAGGACACAGAAAGACCTGTGCTCAAACCTGGCATTTGACTCTTGGGGGAAAGTCTTTGGAGGAGTTAACTCTCTAAGCTGCAGGCTCCTCCTGTGCAAGATCGGCATGGCTTCGTGAGAAGGGCCTGGCACCAGCCGGCAGCCAGCGGCTACCTTACCGTGTCGCGAACTAACCGGGGCACACAGAACCCCCAGGGGCAGAGCTCAGCCAGGACTTGCCTTTTAAAGCTTCCCCAGGTGACCCGCCGGGGCGGTAACCACAGAAACGCCGTCTCCCCTGTCCGGATCCCAGTTCAAATCCCAGCTCTGCCGTTGGCTTGGATGGTCAACCGCCAGGCGGGCTGAAGGGGCGGGCGACGCCGCCGACACCGGAGCGCCCGGCGCAGGGCCGGCCCGCCCTCCGCGCCCGCCGCCCCCGGCCCCGCCCTCGCCCGCCTCAGACCCCGGCGCCACGGCCCGGACCCGGCTGGAAGCCGGGCTCGCGGGGAAGCGCCCGGCCGGAACGCGCCACCCTTCTCCCGCCGCGACCTCCCGTCCCCGGACCTCGCCCGCCGCTCGGAGCCTCACCATGACGGCCTCTCGGCCTCGGGGTGCGCGGGCTCCGGCTTCTCAGCCCCGTGGGCCCCGCTGAAGGGCGGGCGACGGGTCAGAGGTCACGGGGAGGAAGCCGACAGCGCATGCGTCAGGCTGCGGCGAGCATGCGCGTTTTCAAAGTTCCGAGGGGGCGGGGCGTCACCTGCCGTGACGTACAACGGACGGGGCTGTTCCGAGGGCGGGGCTTAGCGGTGGGCGGGGCCCACCTGGGGCTCCGTGGCCAGCCCAGGCCCGCGCGGTCAGCCGGCGCCAAGCAGCGCCGTTTCTTCCCTTGCCAGAACTTTTTAGGCTGAAACATTAGGAAATAAGGGAACAGGACACAGAGGAGGCACCAAACCCTCGGGCATACTTAAGAAAACCAGGAACTTAATAGGTCTATTCCAGATTCCTTCTGCGGGGAAACTCCCAGACACCTGAAAAACTCAGTTCCATTCCTTCACATCTGTGCCCAAATGAGGCCCGTGACTGCCCTCCACGCTCCCATGTTTTGAGGAGAGTTGGGGGTAAACAAGTGTGTGTGTGTGTGTGCACGCCCGTGCATCAGAACTGGGTTTGAACTGGGTCAAGAGGTGCTCTGACGGCTTGCTTGCTCATGGCTGGTGCTCTACCATTTGAGCCATTCTTTCCAGCCTGACATTTTGCTGATCAATTGGAGATGGGAGTCCTGTGAACTCTTCTACCCAGGTTGACTTCAAACCTCAATCCTCTGATCTCAGCCTCCTGAGTAGAATGATAGGCATAAGCCGCCAGCAGCACCCACTTCATTTACTCTCTGATCATTGTAAAGTCTTAGAAGCCCAAGATCATTGTGTTGACAATTTAAGACCCTTTGAGAGGCCTCTCTCCCCCTTTAGTTTTTTGTGGGTCGTGGGGCCTGAACTCTGGGTCTGGGCACTGTCCCTCAGCTCTTCAGCTCAAGGCTAGCGCTCTACCACTTGAGCCACAGCGCCACTTCAGGCTTTTTTTTTTGCTCATGTGGTGCTGAGGAATCAAACCCAGGGCCTCATGCATGCAAGGCAAGCGCTCTACCACTGAGCCACCTTCTCAGACCTCACTTTTTTTTTTCTTCTCTGCATTCTGTCCCTCTGGACTGATCTGCTCTGGATATCCCACAGGAATGTGGCCTCTGTTCTTGAGACCTCTATTTTTTTGTCTCCAGAGCTCTTATCCTCTACCCTATTATATAATTCCTTTATCCTTTAACGTATTAATTTTGCTTATTCTTCATAGTCCACTCCTAATAGAATTCCCAGTGGTTAGGACTTTGATCTTTCTTCTCCACTCCCCAAGTGTGTGGCAGATGGATGAAAACCAGGCCACCTTGGGCTTACATTCTGGACCACTGACTTTTTTCCTCTCCTCTTTTCTCCTCTCTACTCCCTTCTCTTTTCCCCTCCTTTCTTCTCTTGTCCTTTCCTATGGTTTCTCTCCCTTCTTCTTTCCTCTGGCTGTCCAAATTCCTTCTTCCCTCAGCACTATGCTGAGCTTCCTTGTGTGCAAACCATTCTCCTGGTCTCTCTGTGGCAGGCTTCTTCAGGTCTTAGCTTTCAGGTTACATGAGAGTCCCCTTCTCAACCCATGAACACTACCAGCTTCTGCATCCAAGTTATTTCCTTCCTCATAGTTCATCTTCTGACTGTCCATCCTCACTCTGCTCATGAAGTCTGCTTCCTTTGTCAAAGGCTGTAATACCTGAAGTCCCATCTCTCCTGCAGTTCATTACAGCACCTAAGCACCCAGAGTACTGCTAGCTATCTGAGTGCTAAGTGAATGAACTCACAAGTTTGCAGCATTCAAGGCCTTAAGATCAAAGTCAGGCTGAGACCCACAGGCACCCAGGGCCTTCTCACTCACTCACACTCCCATCCCCATCCCCCTTCTAGAGCAGTACAGGAGATGGCCAGCTTAGAAAAGTTTAATTGCTGAGAATACCCAGGTCCCTGAGGGGCCCCATGACCCTTAATTGGGATCATCAGTTGGGTAAGACCCTCTTCTCCTGACTTGCCCTGGGAAGCAGGGTAACTGGTCTGAGGCCCCTGAGGCTGGAGCTGCTCCCAGTGTGGTGGAGGGCCAGCCCCCAACACCCTTGACCAGAATTGGGGCAGCAGGCAAGATGGGTTGGCATGTAGCAACTGAAAACGCTAGACAAAGCCAGCCCAGGCGGCAGAAAGAATAGGGGAGATAGGGAGCCCAGAACCTGCCCAGGGACATGCTACTGACCCCCAGCCCCCATCCCTTGGTTCCACATGCTAGCAGGCGGCTGAGGAGAGGCAGCTCGTCCCAGAGGAAGCAGAGGTGTGGACAGTCCTTGGAGATGTGGTGGGCGCAGCAGCTGTGGAAGTACCCGAGCTCCACAGGGGGCCAGGGCTTCTGGGAGAAGTGTACCAGGGCCAGAGTGGCAGCCTCCAGTTGGAAGAGATATGAGGTGTGCTCTAGGAGGCGGCAGTGGCATCTGAGGCCCAGGGTACCTGGTGAGCAGGCTAGTCCTGGGATGAGAAACCAAGAGGTGGGAGGGGGCTAAGGGGGTCTAGGAAGGACGGGGATGGGGGCAAGCTGCAGGATGCTCGGGAGGAATGGTACTGCTGGCTTGGGAGCTGGGCCTGCCTGCCACTCACCCACTCATCCTCATCCACTCCTTCAAAGGAGTCCTGGGGCAGCGGGTCCTCACGGTTCCCCAGCTTGGCTACCATGGCATTGAGCAGCTACAAAAGTAGACAGGAAGAGTGTTGACCTCAGGAACACATCAAAATCTCATGATCTCAACCCCAACAGTGTCAGGAAAAGAGCCATTTCAACTAGAGCCCTGGCAAAGTTGATTTTGCTTATTAGCATACATCAATTTTTACATTTTTGGTCGTGCTATGGATCAGCTTCAGAGCTTTGTGCATTCTAGGCAAATGCTCTATTACTGACTATATCCTTATGACCTTTTTTTGGGGGGGAGTAGTATTGGGGTTTGAACTCAGGAGCTTGGACTTGCTAGGTAGCTATTCTATCACACGAGACATGTTTTTTGCACAGACGTGTATGTAGCTCAGGCTTGCCTTGAAGTTCTGATCCTCCTGCATCAGTCTCCTGAGTTCTGGCATTATAGGTAGGAGCTACCATGCCTGGCTAGGCAGTCAGAGACCAAGGCATCGTGACTCCTGGTCCAGATGCTGCCATTTCTGCGCCAACGTCCAGCTTTGGTTCAGTTAGGGCTGGCCGGGCTGAGGCCCTTTGCCGCTCCCCTGGCTTCCTATGCCCCGGAGGCAGCGCAATGCCCCTCCATGCTCCCCCTCCAAGCTCTGGTGTAGAGACAGTGTGACACATGCTCTCCCTCACTGCATTGCAGTCCAGTTCTTCCCCGCACCTACCTCTTCTTTCTTCTGTTGGTCTGACTTCTCTTCCAGGTACTGTGCTGAGGATGGGGCCTTCCTGGCGGGGGCCTCCCGGGGGGCTTGGCTCACTGAGGAGGGGCAAGGATAAGGTATCAGAGCCCCTTGGGTGGGGTTCTGGGTGCTAGCATCCAGGGGACTTGCACCTCCAGGTAGAGACCCAAGGAGTATCTTTAACAGTTATCCAAGTCCCTCTTCACAAGGTTGTTCCAGGGACCAGGTTGGAGACGTGGGCACATACACGTGTGAGTTGGGAGTGGGAACTGGGATGGAAACAGGACCACAAGCCCTGCCCTCCAGGAGCACAGGGACAGGTCGAGAGACTTTGACCCTCTATTCTCAGGAAGAGACCCGGGTCTCTGTGTGGTCGTAGCGTCAAAAGATTGGACTTACTCCTTTCTCACTCACCCAGTCTGGACCCTTCTCCTACCTGGGGTCATGCCAGGGGGCTGCAGGTTGAGTAGCCGGGGCTGCCCATTAGCGCCTCCCAGCCAGGCCTCAGCACTGAGCACCGGCTCCCAGCTCACGGCCGTGTTGGGGAAAACATCATCCTGGAAGAACTCTTTCTGTAGCAAAGGGGGGCAGCCATCCTGAAACACTGATCAGAGACCAGGACACACCAGCAATGGGGATTCCCCCCCCCAATACTAGGGTTTCCCTGAGTTCCAGCTAAATTAGGAGGTAGGTGTCTTCAAAAAGCAGGGAATAGGGGAGGGGCTAGAGGCAGGGCCAGACAAGAACTTAAGTTCCCAATGTGGGATGGAGGGCTTGGCACTACAGTCTATAGACCCAACCTCACCCGGACTCGGGGCAGCCGGAAAGCAACAGGCTCCAGGGAGGTGTGGCGCAGCCGCAGGCATCGAGCAAACTCTACTTCCCGCACGTCACACTCAGTCTTAGGCAGGAGGACAAAACCCTGGGGGGACAAGGAAGCAGAAGCTGGAGCCAAAAGCTCCTGGCTGGGCACACAGCACTCCAGGTGACCAAAGACTGGCCCTGGACAGTGGCGTGCTGGTAACGTGAACAGAGAGGGCAAACTGCAACCATGGCTCGTCTCAAGCCGCCAACTCAACTCACAGAATACCAAGCTGAGCAAGGATGGATGGGTCACTTAACCCAGAATCAGGGTAGGTGCATAGCCTTAGTGACATCACCAAGTGATCGAACACAGGACCCATTTTTTATTTTTCTTTCTTCTTCTGCCCCATCTAAGGATGGGATTTAGGGCCTCATTCTTGCTAGGCAAGTTCTCTCCCAGTTGAGCCTCACCTCCAGTCCTTTTTCTTTATAGTCTGATTTTTGAGATAGGGTCACATGGTAACCTTTTTTGCCCAGGCTGGTCTTGGATCACAATCCTACCTCAGTATCCTGAGTAGCTGGGATTATAGGCATACATCACTATGCCTGGTTTCCTTGATTTTTTTCTTTTTCCTGCTGGTCCTGGGGCTTAAACTTGGGGCCTGGCTGTACCATTTGATCAATAGCTCCATTTCTGGCTTTATTATTATTTTATTTTTCGCCTGGGCTGACTTTGAACTGCAATCTTCAGATCTCAGCCTCATGAGTTAGGTATGAGCCACCAACTCCTTTTGCTTGTTTTTGTTGTTGTTGGTAGTGGTGGTGGGGAAGGGACTGAACTCCAGGCCTGGGCTCTATCCCTGAGCTCTTTTTGCTTATGGCTAGTGCTCTACCACTTTGAGCCAT